TCGCTTCATCACAATCCAAAACAGCAAAATATAAAAACCCATTCCATAATTTTTTTTCCTTTTCTTCCCTTCTCTCTCGCTCTCCTCTTTCTGTTTTTTTTTTTAGTTGAGTTAAGATTGAGTTGAGAGACAGAGAAAGGCTGAGTTTCGGAGGCTGAAGGATTCATCTGAAGGCTGAGTTTAATTTTGTAAGTTCATATCGCGATATATTGTCCATTTAAAGCTACAACTTGAAGGAAAATATCGGCGAAATTATCGAGGAAATTATCGATAAATTGACGATATATATATGAAAATGTGCTAAAATATCGCTGCCCTAAAAAAACGATAATTTCGCCGAAATATCCGCGAAATTATTGATATTTTGTTATATGTTCACCATATTACCTCTTTGGTGCCTAACCATCTACCAATTTTGCTTGCGATGGGTTGAGACTCCACGAGACAAAGGTCACGACGATTTATGTTTGAAGAGATGTTGATTAGGATTGAGGGGTGCCAAGAGACAATAGTTCAAGCTTGGGAAGATACGCCAGGATCTGTGGTGGCTAAACTTTCTTCCTATCAGTTAGCCCTAAAACGGTGGAACAATGAACATGTTGGCAATATTCCTAGGAAAGTTTGGTTTTTACAAAATAGAATTGATGATTTGCAGGGGCTAGCGTCAACATCTGAGCTTTTTAATGAGCATAAAAGGTTAGCAAAGGAGATGGATGTATTTATGGAATGGGAAGAAGTTTTATGCCATCAGTGGGTGCGCATCAATTGGTTAAAGCAGGGTGATAAGAATATGCGTTTTTTTCATTAGCAAGCCGGACAGGGGGGTAGCCAAAATGTGTTGAAAGGTATTTTTAATCAGCAAAATTCGTGGTGTACGACTAAGGAGGCTATTGGTGCTACTTTTTGTAGTTATTTTCAGGAGTTATTCTCAACTAATGGGTCTATGGATTGTCATGCTATTCTAGAGAAGGTATGGTCTATGGTTACTATTGAGCACAATTTCAGTTTGCGTATGCCTAGCACTGATATTGAGCAATTTTGTTTAAACATTCTTAATGGAGGAGCCAGTGTTCAGGAAGTTAATCATACACTAATAACTTTGATTCCTAAAGTTGCTCATCCTTCTTAAGTCACTAAGTATAGGCCTATCAATTTATGCTCGGTGCTCTATAAGCTAGTGCCGAAAACTATTGTTAACAAGTTAAAGGAGGTTATGTCATTTGTCATTTTGGAGTGCCAAAGTGCTTTCGTTCCACGAGGCTTTTGAGACAATTCATGTGATTAAACGAAGAGGGAGAAGTGGTATGAAGAAAATGGTAGTTAAATTGGATATGTCAAAGGCTTATGATCTGATTGAGTAGAGCTTTGTGAAAGGCATGCTATGCAAATTGGGTTTTCATGACAGATTGGTGGATTTGATTATGGATTGTATTACTATTGTGATGTATTATGTTCAGGTTATGGGGTCACCTATGGGGCAAATTCATCCTACAAGGGGTCTTAGGCAGGGGGATCCCCTATCACCCCATCTTTTTCTGATATGCATGGAGGGGTTATCAGCTTTGTTGAACTGTGCACAACGGCAAAAACAACTCCAAGGTGTTGATGTTGCCCAAGGAGCTCCTACCTTGACACATTTGTTTTTGCTTATGATAGTTTTTTATTTTGTAATGCTCATCTATCTGATTGTCATTCCTTGCTGACTATTCTTAGGGCATATGAGAGGGGCATCTGGTCAAAAAATTAATTTTGATAAATCAGCGGCTTGTTTTAGTCTAAACTCTGATCCAATGATGCAGCAGGTAATTTCTAGTATGTTTGGGGTGAGTATTATCCCTTGTCGTGAGCGCTATCTTGGTTTATCTATAGTTACGCAATGAAGCCGCTCTCAGATGTTTAAACATGTACGTGATATGTTGTGGAATAAACTACATGGATGGAATTCCAAGTTGCCTTCTTCAGCTGGGAAAGAGGTTCTCATCAAATAGGTGGCTCAGGCACTTCCCACTTATAATATGAGGTTTTCCAACTGCCGCAGGCTTTATGTCAGGATTTGAAGACAATGATTGCTCGTTATTGGTGGAGGAAAGCAGAGAAACGCAGTATCCACTGGATGAGTTGGCGAAAACTTTGTAGGCCCATATGTTTTGGGGGGCTTGGATTCAAAAATTGTGAAGCTTTTAATAAAGCCATGGTGACGAAGCAAGCATGGAGACTCTTGGAGAATCCCGACTCCTCAGTCGGTCGTATTATGAAGGCAAAATATTTTCTTGCGGAGAATTTCTTACGCGCAGAGGTGGGGAATTGCCCTTCCTTAGTTTGGCGAGCTATAGTTTAGGGCAGACAAGTCATTGAGCAAGGTCTGGTGTGGAGAGTTAATGATGGAAAGTCTATCAGGGTGTTCCAAGATCAATGGATCCCTAAACTTTTTAATTTCAAGCCTCTCCTTAAAAATGGGCTTCCTCAACACGCAACAATCTTGAATATGATAACGCCTACTGGGGGTTGAGATATATCTTTAATTGATGAGATTTTTTATGATGAGGATAAGGAGGCTATTTTGAGTATACCATTTTCTTCACTGATTCAGAGAAGTGATAGACAATTTTGGTTTTTTGAGAAGAATGGTAAGTATTTTGTGAAATCGGGTTGTTGGTTTGCCTTACGAGAGAGTAATTTATGTGACGAAGGGGAAGGGAGTCCTTCAGATATGGGAAGCTCATATGGCATTTTGGAAGAGATTGTGGAGGTTGGAGATTCCGAATAAAATCAAGTTATTTGTGACTTGCTGCGTCCGATATCCTTCTAACTGCAGTTAACTTATTTATGAGGAAAGTGGCTCCTTCTCCGCTTTGCTCCAGGTGTGATAGGAAAGGGGAATCTACTATGCATCCTCTCTGATAGTGCAAGGGAAATAAACAGTTTTGGCGTTTGTTTTTGTTTTGGGATAGGGTGAAGGTGGTGGGTGGCTCTTTTGCATATTTTTTGGATTAGGCTGCCCATGTTTTAACGAGATTGAAGTTTGAGTCTTTCATATGCTATTATTGGAAAGTATGGCAGGTGCGCAACTTTTATATCCACGATAAACCTCAAGCTAATGTGGAAGAGGCTGCAAACCAGTCACGGGATTTATATGCGCAATTTAATAAATTTTTTAAAAGTCACAATTGAATACCACTAGACTTCTATAAACGCATTAAAAATCTAAATTGAATACATCAAGACTTTTAAATTCTATAAAAGTCATTAAAAGTTTAAATTGGATACACCCCAACATGAAATTAGTCATTATGTGTAATTTAACCTTGAAAACCCAATATATTAGATACATTCCAATTTCAAACGGAGGGGTATAGAACAACTTGTCTATGGTCATTAGATTATATATAGTTCAACATGAAATTAGTTATTTTGTGCAAGTTAACCTTGAAATCCCAATATATTAGAAACATTCCAATTTCAATTCAACTACTTTATGAATTTTTGGATTTCGAAACTTTCAGATATCGGAATTGATTTAAAAATTAAGGATCATATTGATTGATTTGAAAATTTATATACTGAAATAAGGAATTTTGGAAAATTCAGGTAGAATTGACTAGAATACAAAAACGAAATGAAAAAGAAGACTCCCAAAACAAAAATTGGGAAAGAACAAATAAAGAAGCGAAAAGACCAACAGTTCATTTGAACTCCTGCAGGAAAAAAAAACACACACAAAAGACCATCAATTCCTTTTGTTTGTTCTGCTCAGTGCGCGAGGGCACTCCGATCACCGGATAAATGGTTCCGGTGGCCGGACCTTACACAGAAAAGCCCACAAATTCCCTCTAATTTTCGGGAAATACCAAGCTTAATGGATTCTCAGGAGGTCTCTGAGAAGGGTAACATGGCGTATTTAATACTGCGGTGGTCTCTGGCTCTCGTTTTACCTATCGTTGCTATCTTTGCACTATCACTTTTCGTCGGCTTCGTAGCCATTTTCGTCGCCAATTCCTCAGTTCCTAGCCCAATTTCCGTGTCCTCTCAGTGCAGGATCGTCTCCAGCAGTAAGTCATTTTTCAAAATTAATACATATTAAATTTGTATGTTCTGAATGAAAATTGAGTTGGGTCTGTTAAGATGCTTGAATGTCACTGTTTGGTTGACTTAAAATTGCGAATAGGAATAAGAAAATTAGGATGTTTGCAATTTGTTATATATGCCAAAGATATCATCCGGGTTGATTGTTGGAGCTATGATCAAAATTGCTTGCTTTTCTCTGGTTAGTTTATTCTGCTTTCATGAGTTTTACTGGCATTTTGAAGGAAGGTGCATTGAAACTATGTACTCAGTATGTTACTTTGCTCTCTCATGAATACAAGTGTGTTAACTGAAATTCATGTCTTATGGAGTGGTAATTCTCCTATTCTTATATATACATATACAGGGTTCTTCTCTCCTGAGGTCCTTAAATAATTTAAGTCAGCTTTCTCAACTGTTTGAGATCCTATATGAACTGAAAATTTTATATATGCATAATACATATAATATTCTTAGTGCATTTTTCGATATAAACTTTTGTTACATTTGTCCTTTTTCTGTTAGTGTTATGTTTTTGGAAGATCCGTTATTATTGTGGTACCTATCTTGAAATCATAATAGGCATAGCTCTTCCTTTTTACAGGTGTTGATCTTAAGTCATCTAAGGTGTGTGAGCTTGGACTGTTCAATTACAAAGCCAAGCATGTGTTTTATCCTTTTGAAGGAAGAAGATTTCGATGTCGTTATGATTACTATTGGGCTTCAGTTTTTAAGGTTAGCCTACCTTACTCTCAAATTGTATATATTATCATATTGTTGTATTATATGCAACTAATATTAGCAATTTCTGGATCGTACCTTTACACGCAATTTGTAATTAGAAATTTATTTTATTGGAGGTTTGGAGTAGAGTGCATGTCTATTAGTTTTTTTGTTTTTTTCAAGTTTGAGGTAAATGCAGTTCATCTATGAACCAAAAGAGTTGTATGAAAGATTCCTTGTGGGGTGGTCAAATGACATTTTTGAAGCCTTCTTGGCTGAAAAAGATAGTTGGTATGCGGGCTTTATGGGTGAGCTGGTAGTGCCACAGTTGTTTCAGTTGACGAAATTCTGCTTTAAAGTCATGCTATGATGATTAACTTGACAAGAGTTAAAACACGTAATGTTAACTCTAATTATATGGGTCTCTTCAGTCAAATATTAATTCTTTTCTTTCCTGTTTGCAGGTGGAATACAAAGATCAGTCTTCTGGTCAGACTCAGCTTGCATTGGCTGAGGCTCCAAATGAGGCCCTTCCTCTTGATTGCAGACCTAATTTTGGTGCTGCATGGTTGACCAAAGATAAGTTCAAGGTAAGTTGCAAAGTTTTTAATTATGGTGTGGTTCAGGGTTGAAATTATTATTGCACTTTGGTAAAATTTGATATTTATATGATATTAAGTTTACTATGAGGAAACATCATTGTCCGTAACTCCTTGATAGACATTTTTCATTTTCTCACCTTTGTTTGCTCAGGTCAATGAAACTTATGACTGTTGGTACACATATGGCATTTCCAAAGTAAGCTTATATCATGATGGTTTCTTCAGTTGCCAAGCTAAAGATCCGTCTACCTTTGAGATGATTAGAAGATATTTCATCCTGTGAGCAAACTGACTCTTTTTTCTCTTTTTGTTTTTCCTTTTATCTAATCAGGTGTGCTGTGTCTTTATGGATTTCTTCACTTAATCTTATGAACACATTAGGATACTCTTCTAGATAAATAACTTATCTCATACGCAAGGGAAAAATATTGGCATAGATGCACATATTGGGTCCCAAAAGATGGAAACATTGATAACAGCACACAAGAGAAACAATGAAAATAAGAGAAAAATATGAAAATTTTGAATGAAACTTCAAGAGATTTAACCATCTACCATTTGATTAAAAAGAAAGAAAAACATAGGTGTATTATAGATTTGTATTATCTAGGTCAGATACAGTGCATGGTGAGAGACATTGCTACTTAAACTATTCAATGCTCAATGGAATTGGACTGAATATATTTAAAATTTTCATTATACTAACTTTAAACAATTGTTTACGCTTTATACTTAGCATAGTGAATTAGACAAGCAATGGATACCACATAGAGTTCTTAGCGGTTTATTATACTTAAGAAAAATTTAAACAAACTGGAAAATGTAGAGCTTACTTCTAGGTTGTCTTTATTGGAGAATGGTAATTTTTCTTTTTTAAAGCTGCTAGGTCGGATTCTAGTAAGTGTGGTTTTTCATGCGAATCATACTTTAGAGAGTTGTGTTAATTCATCTCTTCCCACTTTACCTCTTCTTTTATTTGGAAGAGTACAGTACCTCCTAAGGTGCAATTTTTTGCTTGGATAATTGCTCATGGGAGGGCTAATACCTGTGCTTTGATCCAAAGAGTACTTTTCTTTCTTCCATTTGGTGCATTATGTCCCAAAGGAAAGGGTAAAAGTGCAGATCATCTTTTTCTTCACTGTCCTGTAACTTTAAATTTTTGGTTCAGGTTCAGAGAAATGCATATATGTTGGGTATTTCCGGCCGGTTGATTTTCTCTCGTTTGTGAAAGGCAGAATGTGTTTGTTAGGAAAACAGCCAATAGAGTTATGGAGTTTCTGTGTCTTAGCAATTCTTCGGTTATTTGGTTGGAGAGGACTAACTGGATCTTTTAGAATCATGTGGGTTGGGCTGAGGTGTTTTGGGGTAGAGGTAGACTTTTGTCTTCACTTTGGGTTTCTGTTTCATCTGCATTTCGGGATATGCTGCTTTCTTTTATAATTGGAGCTCGGAAAGAAATAGTAAGTTAATAGTGTATTTTTGGTTGAGGTTCTGTTTGTAGTGAGAATTCTTCTGTTTTTCTTCTTTTTTGGATTCTTTTTATTTTATTTTATTTTTGTTGACTACTTGTCCACCTTGTCTGCTGTGATTTACTGTATTATTTTCTTTATATAAAGAGGGAACTATTATTGGCACTCCAAAAAAGTCATCCTGCACTCCCAAAATTTTTACAAAGGAGGAGTGCGTGATGAATTTTTTGGAGTGCCCCTAATAGCTCCTAGAAATTCATGTTTCTTTTCGAAAAAGAAAAGGGATTTACTATCTTCATCATCTCTGTGTAGTGTGGCATATTGTAAAGAATAGTTATCAACTAACAATCTCCATGCGAGTTTGCTTGCAGTCATTACCAAACAAGATGTATGAATCTTGTATTGGTTGTGCTTGTTTCTGCTCGTAGTGATAGTATGATCAGGGCACTGATTAATTTTGTCTGTGACTATAGTCATCTGTTTGCATGATTAGGTACTTGGTTTCATCCCATAATAACTGATTGTGATGGGTGATGTGATTTGTGTGTATAATTGCATGGATTTATACACGTACGAACGACATCTTTCATATCAAAATAAATGCTTGGAGATGATGCTTAGGACATTTGTACGTGAGAGCTTGTGATGAGGACATCTTTGTCAAACCCATTAGGGTTTACAAAAGAAGGAGATGGAAGAGGAAGTCATTTAATGTGGTCTTTAAATCTGGCAATTTTTTATTCCTGCGATTAGTTTCTAACTTGTTCTCTAAGTTCTCCAGATTTTAGTAAGATTTTTAAGTTTTCCAGATTTTAGTAGGATTGATAAGTTTCCTATTTTATTTAGGTTAGAATTTCTGTTTTAGCAAGGGATTTTTTAACCTATTATCTCTAGGTTTTAGTTTGCTATAAATACCCCTCTCATATAATTCATTATGGAGTTGAGTTGTAGAGATATAAAGAAAAGTTTATTTTCCAGAGATTGGGGACTAGTTGGTGTGAAGCCAAACCCCTGGAGTGATTCCAGACCTATCCTTGTTCGTTCTATTTTCTGTTTTCCATTGTTTTCGCTTCCGCTAAACTACCTAAATTCTCAATTCACCCGTGTCCTACATCAGCTTGAATTCTTCCTCAATTGGGGAGTATGGAAATAACACAAAATGGCAGAAACTGCCATTCTTCCCCAATTCCTCTTCGGAGGTCATTGCTACCAGTGTCTTCTTGCAGAACTTCTGCTCACACTACTACATTGGCACAAGAATGCTAGTTCCATAAAAGGAACTATTGAAGGAAAGGAGGAAGTATCCGTGTTGTAATGCAGAGAAAGAGACGGCACACGACTGCCATCACTGTCTTTGTCATATCACTGTCTTTGTCATATGGTGCATGTACTCTTTCTTAGCATGGTTGTTTTCTCACAAAAGTGTTTTAAGTCTCATCCCATTCTCTTCTTCCCATGTCACCCTACTACATTTACATGTTTTCGATGTGTAGCCAGGTTATCCTTTTAGTGGCACGTCTATTCCAGCTTTTCCATAATCTCTAGCATGTATGTTATTTTCATAAGCTTTTCCACATTATTTTCATAAGCTTCAGGCATTTCTCTCCAGTAGGAAATAATCATAACTAGTCCAATAATTCTCTCTTGGTTGAGGTATCATTTTTATATTTCTGAGAGAATTTCTCTCTGTTTAACAAAGGTCGAGTACTTGAGTTGCATTTAAATAAAGTCTCAATCTAGATATGTTTTATGTTTGCTCTTGTAGTACGGTCTTAGTAATGCATCTACTTTTCAGTGCGACGAAGATTTTACACTCCTGGTTTGTCGGCCAGGAACGAGCTGGGTTTTGGAGGTGGGAAACCATAGCTGGAGTTATTGCTGGTTTTTCGACTTCATTAATCTCCATAAGCTTTATTAGCCTCCTGCAACAAATGAAATCTCGGTTGCCTCAACTTTTTGCTGCAAGAGTGCTTCCTCTCTATATGATCCGCTTCAGGCGCACTTGTTTTCTTGTGGCATACATCTCTTTTATGAGTTGGCTGGCTATCCAGTATGGGAAAAGGCTTGGCCTCCTGGAGATCATCACTCTTCTTAAGAAGTAGGGGCAGCACTCTTTTTTGGAAGTGCAAATTCCTTTTTGTTTCCATGGGATGCTGCAAATTTGGAGTTGCGGCAAGCAAATGTATCATTCCCTGTACAATGATATACAACAGTGGATACCAAATGCACTTAATCATCTTGTTGAATAGAATATATTGAGCAGAGACAGAAACTGTATAGGAAACTTACCCCAGTTGAAACATCAGTAATCTTAATATGTGATGTGTAAAAGTATCTTTGAAAATGTAATCTATTTTTCAGTAGCGAATTTTCTGGCTCTCTAGAATACAAGTACTTCACAATCCCTAAGAAATGATGTGTTTAATGTCCACAATTTCCTTTTCTTCTTTTATCTAGGTTAAAAAGGTGCAAGCAATTCAGTACGGAGATAGAAGCCATTCAAGTCTTTCTTATTTATTCATGCATTTAATTTTATTCATAATTTGGTTTTTTTTTTGGGAGATTCACTATTTGGTTTTTATTTTTGGGAGATTTACTATTATATCCAAGATAAGAGCCCAAATTATAAAAAAATTCTATATGAAATGAATTTTAAAAACACTCAAAACTCATTTACAACAAAACAAAAAGGCTTTTAACTTCTTTTAAATTACAAAACTACCATTGATTTCTTAAAACAAACCCAACCCAAAACCTCATAAAAAAACACAAAACACAAAACACTCAATAGGGCATTAAAGTAATTTAATAATCAAAATTAAATTCAATAGGGTCAGCTGTTAATTTTTGAGGTTTTTTTTTTGGTTTGTTTATAGAAATTAAATAGTGTAGGGTTTATTTATAGTTTTAATGCTAAGAATAGGTGTATAACTAAATATATATATATATATATATTTTTTTTTTCCTGCTTTGAGATTACCCTATTTGATCCTTCCTCTAGAGTTCTGTTTCCAAACAGTCGCGTACTGGTGCTGTGCATCAGCATTAGGCCCTACAATTGAGGAGGGAGGAGAGTCCATGACAGTGATCCCCAAGTACAACTTATGAACCATCTTTTGGTGATTTTGATTTGGTGGCAAGATTTGCACACAACGTATGACTCATCTTGGCTTAATTGGCTTGTAACTACATTTTATTCTCGAGTTTAATTACACCGACGCCACTGAAGTTTTTCGTGTTTAGGAGTTATGTATTAACCCTTTTGTTCAGCGTATTATTCTGCCACACCAATCTCTTGTTACTTTTTAGCATCAAACCAATCTCAAGCATATTGAATTATAATGTTTTGTGGCCATGAAGCAACTGTGAACTGAGCATTGAAAAGATAACTACACCTCCATTTCCGGAGGATTACAAATTCAATGCTAAAAGCCTAGGAAAACCTCGATGAGGATTTCAAATTGCGGTAAAGCCCTTGAATAAGTGCTAAAGAGTTTCATTCAACCAAGCAACACTAGGAAAAAAAGTGGCAGCAGTCACCATTATTTGGTTACATTTGTGGCCGTGACAAAATACATTAATCTCCTTTTTTGGTGACTAAAAAGCCTCTTAGTCACCTTTTTTGCTGTATTTAGTGACTAAAGTCTTTAGTAATCCCCACAAAAAAGTCACAAAATAATGGTAACTGTTGCCATTTTTTTTTTGTAGTGCAAGTACAATAAGAGCATTTGGGGCAAAATAAGCCTAGTTTGACTTAACATATCAGGGCCAAGACCTTGACCAAAAAAAAAAAATCAGGGCCAAGAGGCCTAACGGCAAAAGGCTCAAGAGTTACACAACCCCACCAATTATCTTTCGAAAAACTAATATTTTATATCATGATATTTACTTGAGATATTCTCCATTAAGAATATACCAAACCATTTTTCAATTGGAATGACAATGACCAAATTTTATACTGCATTGGGTGTTTACAGCGTCATACGGATGCAGCTTAGATATAGATTTCAAAATTTATATATAGTTTTGGCACATATCTTTTACTGCTCCTCATCCTCAGCTATTCTTGTAATCAAAAGGATAATAGAGCCGCAGCAAAACTTGTCACCACAATGTAGCACTAAGTTGAGGCTTCAGTTGAAAAAAATTGCATGTAGTCTTAACAAAGTTTAATCTTTTCAATATTTCGCCCAACTTTCCTATCGACTTTCATAATTTTCAAGTTGTGAATTATTATGAAACAAGTGGCTTTCAATTTTTTTTTCCGTTTCATGCAATTTTCTTTCAATAAAAATACCACTTTCATAAAAGATAACTGCACAACTCCAGATCGATGCGAGAATTTTGTTCCATTGTCACCATTCTAAGACTTAAAAAGAAATACCTGCAAATGCTTCACCTTCTTCCATTGTTCATTTTCAATAGCTTTAAAGTCTCTCTAGTACAAGGGAAAAATGCGTCCGGCCGAACACAGAAAGGCTGGAAAACAGAAAACAAAGCTTGCATATCAGTTTCAAACTGACTGCTCACATTGTCAAGAGATTGAATACCACTACGAGATATGAAATGGTCAAGCCCTTCAGCAACACATCTCCATAGATCTAAGAAGTCTTTGGGATTGAGACTCATTCTCAAAAGAACAAGATGACTTCTCAAAACATCCAACGGTTCGATAAACTCAACTGATATACTTAAATCCATGGCTGCTGATACTTCCACACGAGTTGAACCTTCTAGCCGCTGCTCGTCATGTTTCAACTTTTGCACAAATGCCCTTGAAAGAGTTTCGAACTGACGAAGAAGAACAGAAATTATCTCCATCAACCAGTTGGTTGCGAGCTCGGCCAAGATTTTTATTTCTTCTCCGAAAAAACTGAAATCAGTACTCTCATCTTTGCCCAGGCCACTGGTATCATATTCAGCAACTTTCATCTCCAAGAAGTTCACGTCATCACTCCACTGGCGAAGTTTGGATTCGACATATTTGGCAGCATTAATTGATCCAGAGACTCTAACTAAGGCATCATCATCAGGATTGTCTGGAAGAATTTCAGTTCTCTTGCACTGTAAAAGCAGCACTTTAAAAAAGTACCAGAGGAATCTGACAGCAGCTGACCTAACAAATTGTATACGTGCTGAAGTGGCAGGCATAGTTTGGCATCTTTCAACCATTTCCCATGTGATTCCAAGCGCAGATTCTGCAATTAATGGAGCTCTATAATCTATTCTAGTCGAAAGAAGAAAGTGCTCTGATTTTGTATCAAAATGCAACTCATCTTGATATTTATCATCAACTAACCACGCCCTTTCATGTTTCAAATCTGTTTTGAGTTTCTTACAACCATTTTCAAGCTCTATCTTTGCCCAAATCTTGAGCCAATCTGGCCTTTTACAAAACAGCATCAACACTGAAATGCTTCCTGAGGGACTTCCCACCCTTTCTGACTCTCCCAGAAATAGACTGATTTCCGAACTTCCAAGTGACCGTAATTGTTTATCAAATACAACAGTGAGGTCAATGAGATGAAGCCATGACTCTATAACTTCAGATTTTATTTCTTTCTCCTTGTATCTTTCAGCAAGAGCAGAGAATATTCTTTTCTCCAAAAATTCAGAAAGCAGTTGCACCATGGCATAAACCCAAGCTTCTTTAGCACTATAGCTTCCCAATCTTGCTCTATCAATCAGGGGCTGCAAGACATCATCCACTCCTACAATAAAATCCCTTGTAGTTTTGTATGCAAGAGCGAATATAAGTTCAGGTTGATCAACCCACTTTGAAAAATGGTATTCCAACCGTGATGCAATAGGAGACACCAGCTCATCAATGGCCCAAAGCTGTTCCTTGCACACATTTTGTCCTAAGAGATTGAGCTGTCGTTTTTCCCTCCTTGTTTGTAGATGCTGTACAGCACAAAGAGCAAGAAAGCTATTTGAATAACTCTTTCTTTTATCTCCCTGCATTAAAACTAATGGGTTTGGAAGGCCTGAGAATTTTTCTCTTTCAATTTGCGATGTGGAAAGTTTTGGTGGCCATCCAAGAGAAGTGAGAAGAGCTCTATGATCTGCAAAAACTTGTCGGCGAAGAATAACCAAACTTTTATCCACCCTAGTATCCACAGATTTCAGAAGATGATGCCATTGTGGTCGAAGTTTCAGAAGATCAATCAATACTTCTAAATCATTCAACGCTTTTATGGCTTGAAGAAACTTTTCCTGCTTTGTTCCAGAGTCCTGCATTTCAGAAATACGGTAATGATTAATTGACCCTTGTCAATTAATCCGCCATTCAAATATGCATTGAAATATAAGAAAAAAAATAGCAAAATTGTTCCAGTAGCTACTGATGGATTTGCAGAGAACATTTTTCCACTGTGGCTATTCACAAAACAGAGAACTGCATCTTCTAGATCTCCAACCAGAGCTTCTAACTGTAGAGTAGTCTCTGAAATAATAAGAGGTAGTTTAGCTTGAGACTCTCTACGATATGAAGAGAGAGAGAGAGAGAGAGAGAGAGAGAGAGAGAGAGCACAGACAGTATTGAATAAACATCGGCAAATAGGTTAACAAAGCATAGGCCTCAAACAAATTGCTAATAGGTAAACAACTTGAATAAGAAAAGAGTAAGGACAATTACTGAAAACAATATCAAACATGACAGGCATGACAAGCATCCAGCAGTGAAATATACAACTTATGGATTCCAAGGGAAAACAAAATATACACATACATCACAGATTAAAAAACATACCAAAGAGAATTGAAAATCAGAAAATAATGCAGTAACATCACTATGTGGGAGTTCAATACCACAAGCATTTTGAAGAAAACACAAGTTGGAAAACAATGTTAGCATCATAACAAATGAGGTTAGGTTCAATATCAAGCATTTTGGGAAAAACACAAAGTTCAAAAAATAATGACAGCAATAAAACAAATGAGATTTGGATTTAGTTGTAAACATTGTGACCATAAAACACAAGAATGAATTGAAGGGACAAAAATCAAGGTAGGCCAAGACAAGAAAAATTACCCTTCCATTTATGCAGTCCCATTTTTAGAAGATCAAATATTATATGGTAAGGTTTGTAGAATATATTATGTGATTTAAAGAATTATTGGATGTAACTAGATAAGTGATGAAGTGATGTGTACAAAGAAAACCATTGTAATATGATAATAAGCCCTGTAATGCAAATCATGGTAATAGGGTAAACTGCAATTATGTCTGGAGAATGCAGATAGCAATGACTACAGAGTTATTAAATAAATATATATATAATTGAAAAAATCAGAGCCTTTTATTCTTCAATCTTTGCAGGAAATGTTCAAGCTAGTTTTGGATAGGTCACTGAACGAAATTTACCA